CTATCCAGTGATATACCGACGAGTTAAGAAAAAAAAAGCGAAGAATTATCGTATACGGTTTAGTCACTCGTTATGGTCCGCGAACCAGTTGCCAGCGCAAGTGGTTGAAGAAGATTCGCGAACGGGCTGGCGAAAAACGAGCGCTTTTCGAAAAATTCGAAAATTCAGAATTTGTTCCAAGAATGGAGACGGAATGCTCGCTTGCAAGGTATATTTTTCCACGATTGGTCGATCGTTCTTTCGTTGCCCTATTATCTTAGAGTCGCGTTGCGCGCCGGCTCGAGCCAAGTCGCAGGCTGGAATTTAATGAATGCCGTTTAAGGAAAGAAAGGGGCAACTGAACTGTGCACTATTGACCCAGGTCGAGAATCGCCTGCAGGTAATCGCGATACTCCCCTCCTCTCGTGCCCCTGCTAGAACCAACGTACTCGCGCATTTATTTCCCGTACACGTGCCACGTACCCTATTGCTACTTGTTATATTAACCGCCGCTACAAAAATATCCTATATCGCGATGGTCGTTATCACTCGATGTGTGATGGCTCTTTAATGTTTCAGACGACGCCGACTTTTCGCTTCTTCCTTTGAAAATAATCATTTCACGCCACTTTGTGGTGACGGAGCGTTACGAAAGCCGAATAATTGAGCTAAATATACCGGGTGTCCTGAACTTAAACGGCGAAACTTCGAGGGTTCGAAGGTTTACACGTAAAAGAGGAGGAAAAAGTGTTGTATAAAATTCGATGCCAAAAACTTGTATAATTGTAATATATATAAATAAATAGTAACGTACTTTTCATTACAGTACACAGATGGTGTTGAATGTACGTCTTTCTTTCACGTGCTAATAATTTCGTGTTATTAATCATGTATCATGTTATTAATCATATATAAATAAAGTAAATACAATACAATGAAATAATACGACAAAAGATATGATAAGTAAATACAGTAAAAAATAATTTTTGACTTACCAAACTTGATATCAATGAATAACAACACTATATAACATTGTATAAGGTCGACAACAATAAAATTCTCCGTGTAAAATTACTTTTGTCGAAATGAACCTTTTCTTTTCAAGTAAAAATGGTAAAGTTAGCAGAAATCGTAAGAAAGGCGAAGCTATGCTATTTCACACGTACAATATTTGTTCATAAGTCTGTACAAGGCGTTTCCCAACAAACTTTATATAACATTTTCTTCTTCTTTCTACGTGTAGATCTCGTCAAGCCCTCGCCATTCGTGTTTGGGACACCGCGTGCATTTTCATCGTGTACTCGTTGTAAATAGCTAGAACTACGATTAAAGTAAAAAATATTTGCACCGATGAAATTAAAGTGCAAGGTGCAAGAAACAAAAATAATAATAAAATAAAAAGAGAATAAATAATAAACAAAATAAAAATAATAAATAATGAACAAAAATAATAATAAAATAAAAAAAGTTAATAAATAAAAATAACAACAAGATGAAAAAGTTAATAAATAAAAATAATAATGACAAAGTACACGAGCTCCTATCAATATATTTTATTAAAAAAACCACTCGAAATACTAAAACTAACACTCGAATCAAAAAACACACTGCTATAAATGTACAAAATTTTCAGAGAAGATTGCTAATTTTGACCAATGGTACACGAGCTTTTATTAATATATTTTATTAAAAGTCACTCAAGTATCTAAAAACAGACTGTTGTAAATACGTGTAAGATTTACATTTGCAGAAAATAATAAATTGGTCGAATTTTGGCCATTTTGGTAGTTCCAGCGTTAAATGCAACGTCCTACATATATATATGTACACACAGAGAGAACATGTTCCTCTGCAGCACGTTTCGATAGATGATCTTGAATGCCTAATGGGCACGTTCGTACACCAGGAACGCGATCGAGCTATAGAACTCGAACTGCTAACCACGAGGAACACGTCGTCCAATAGGTCGACGTACGCGAAACTGTGTACAACCTGTCAACGCTTTCGTGTCATGCCTTGTTAGCGCTTGTTCCACATGACACGAGGTCGACCGACGATTCTGCATTTTTTTAAAGAAAAATCTATCCGGATCGTGACAGACCTGGACGGCTCTCTGCTTGGATAAAAAATACGTAAATGGGACGGAACGTTCGTTCGTTTATTTATTTAACGAACTAAGAACGAGAGAACGTGGAAGGTTCGTTTAACTCGTTCGAGACTTAAATTACACACGTGAGTGTATTTCCTAGCTAAAAAAAGACGAGTTACAGGTAACGATCTTGAGTTACTAGTTATTAGTGAAGATAACATCGTTTTCGAGTAAAGTGAAGCTTTAAAAAAAATCGTCTTTAAAATAATTCTTCACCTTC